ACATAAATGTGTGTTTAGTGTGATTTTGCAGAACCATTCACAATGCAACCATAAAACATTACATGTATCTGCCCGGCCGGGACGTCCCAACGTCTTATCAGTGTCACAGAGTCACACAAAGAAAGGGATCTGTTGTTAAAGCTCACAATGTGACACTTTTCTTACAATTGGGCCCCACACAGGGAGCTCATCATTTATATTGGGTGACATGTTTACTGCTGTGTTGTTTTCCCACTGCAAATAAAATTGCATGACTGGAAGAGGATAACATTCGTTGTTAAAAAGGAAGAGTGTCTGCGGCGTACAGATGCGTGTAACACAGGGAGACACGCTGGATCTGTGACCTTAAACAAAGCAACACCACCCGTGACTGTTTATCTGAGCGCTGTGCTGGCGACGGAGCCGTACGCACCTGAAGCAATCTGGTAGCCTTACTGACAAATTCCCAAGAGGAACCGCCTCTTAATCTGACAAAAGTCCACGCAACACGCTCGGATGCAGATGCACAGACAAAATAAAGACACCGCAGAGGGTCCCCGCACTGCTGTGCATCTGTTCCCACTTCGGATGCAAATGGAAACGGTATTATTTGAAAAACACTCTTGAAGTTGACATTTTCATCGTCTTCCAGCATAACAAGGGGCATTTGGACAGGTTATTTCTGATGGGTGTACCTAAACGTTTATACTACTTTTATGTGACATCCTCCCTTGTGGAGAATAGGGAATAAGTGATGAGTCCCAACATCCTTCTGAGGCTGCGAGGGCAGATGAAGGATGAGGATTTTGTCTCAAGGGCACATATTGATGCCACATCATTCCGTGGCGTCTATGTTCATTTCCTCTCTCGGCATCTATCTTATTTGTTATGCCTCACTCTGCTTCCCTCCCTCCAGCCTTTCCTTCCTGAAAGCACAGGTATCACATTCCTCTTTCATGAGGCCGACATCCATCCTTGACTGCCTGTGTGCGTGCTTCACTAATGGCCTTAAAGACCTTCTTTCCTTTCCACACCCGATGCAAGGGCAGCTTTTTAGCTGAGCAGCTATTTAAAAGTAAAAAGAAAAAATGCATCCATGTTAGCTATTTACTTTAAAGGCTTTAAAAGTAGGTTGTTGTTCTTTTTACTCGAGGAATTGATATTATTCAACACTAAAGAGTTTAAAAAACATGGACTCTTCACTCTTCATTCATCTTTCCTTGACATTGTTTTTGATTTAACACAACAGTTGTTTAGACTTCCAATGTCGCCTTTCTCTTTTAACTGTACCAGAAGTGAGGTTTTCCATTTTAAGAATAAATAGGAAAAACAATTGTTCTTATACCATTTTATAAAATTCCATGAAGATTCTTAGACACCTTGACATGTCAACCTGCTGGCATTAGTTTCATTGTAACCAATCCAATAGTTGCTGTTGAGGCAATGCCATCCTTACAGCCACAGTTACTCTGGCTATAAAACGTTGGTGGAAATCTCCCCACTTCTATGAAACCGAATAATACTTGTCTGGTTCACACCATTGTCCCCATCTGATCCAGATCTTTGAATCAAGAGTCCTCCAGCTGCTAAACGTCCCCTCATACCTTCCGTCTATCCTGCTACCGAAATCAAACAAAGGCAGCTGTTGTGGCATGTTTTCCTCAGCCCATTTCCCAATTCCAGCAATCACACTAAATGAACCCCCCCCCAACAAAAGCTGAAATGCTAGTTAATGCAATAAAGGTCCTTGGCTCTGTAGACGCACTGCAGGTTAATCTTTAATTGGACTCAAAGAGGATTGGAAAACGTTTTTACTGCATTCAACAGAACCAAGCGTCAGGTCCGCCAGCATAAGAGACGCAGAGAGGATTTGCTGCAGCAGACTACGAGGTCGTGTTACAGGGGGACTGCATATCCGGCGTGGGGCTGATGAGTCAGACAATTAAAACCAAGTCACACAATAGCAAAACCGGCCTGTTGTCATTTCTGAGTTGAGTTTAGACGGTTAGGGGGTATCTCAGGAATATTTCAACAACAAAGATTCACAATGTAGCCAATGGACAGGAAACCCCTTTTCTGTGAGAGTTTACAAGGCGCACTAAGCAATCAAATACCCTTCAGTGCCACACAATACATATAAAATGGTTTCCTTCAGTCTCAAGGACCACGTTCTTATTGTTCACTAATAGTAAGAGTGCATCTACATCAACTGCCGGCCTGACAAAGTACCACCCCGAGAAAGAAATGTGCAGGAGCTATTCTTTGCAGGGTAAACAGGGTAATAAACTATCCATAGAAGAGGCAATTACTTCCTGATGTGACACCACAACCCATTTCAACCAATCGAACAGCGGGAGGGGCCTCCAACCGTGCTCCTCCAGGCTGCTAACTAGGTTAGCTGGGCTGCTAACACAGGCCAGCTCAAATTGGTCTAAGGAATATAGTGTGGCTCTTTCTAACCTCCCCACATAGGCTACTCCGTTCTGTGGGACCAGCAGGAGTTTGGCTAACTGGCTTCCAGGCCAGGGGGCCTCGCCAAACGTATGTGATTTATGGGCCAGCGCAAAGGCTAATGTAGGCTGTTTTGCATATGTCCTGGTTTGGCTCTTGGCTGGCTTCATTTTTAGCTCTCCCACCTCTGGTGCTTATAGTATTCATGGCATTGACATTACCGCTGCTAAATGTGTTCTCTATTCAAATGTGCTGTTGTGCAAAAAAACACAGCAACTGGTATTGATAATTCAGAGGATTTGATAAAAAATGCAATGAGGGCATGTAGGAGGTGGGGGAACGACACAGGATGAACCTGCTTTGCGCACCGAGGGATCCAGCTCTATTATTAAATTAATGTATGTGCTCCCAGCATCACAGGCCCAACCTGACAGCCAGAGCGTCTTCCGATCAAATGGAAATCGGCAAAGGGAATACCTAATATGTAAACAGTCAACTGCATTCCACTGCATCATAGGAGTTTATCGGCTGTATATCACACGTAGGATTAGTATCTGCCGTCGGAAAAAGGGTGAGTTTATTGGGCAAGTACTTATCATGTATTCATATATGTGTACATATTTTATTCTTTGCCGTCATTACATTGCATTTTAATATCATAGCATAGCTTGTTGGATCTGATTTTAGCTTTCAAATAAATTAATTTAAAAAATAAAATGAATTAAGAATAGCATGAAAGTAAATACTTAAGTAAAATGCAAGTGCGTGAAAACCAGCACAAAAGGACAGTGGCCTAAGACAGCACGTGCTGCTCTAGTCCAGCTCTGTGACGTAGAGTTTGAACGTTTGCCTCGTGTGCAGCAGACGTCTGTATGAGCAAAGTGTCACAAGTCAGTGTGCAGATGCATTTTTTTTTCTTGATCATAGAGCAGATCCCAGAGTTTTATTTGCATATTCATCATTGATCAGGCGAGTTGACCAAATCACCTTTCTCATTGAGAGCAGTGGCCGGGGGGAGTGAAGTGCTTCCTGCACATATCTTAACACACTATCCGCCACTAATAAATCCACCCGGGTAAAACAAGCAATCAGCTGCATCACATGTCTCACATGCAAACTGTGTTACCGAATGTGTAATGTCCAAGTAACCCAACCACAGCCAACCTGGGGATGAGTGCTTTGCAAGTGGCAAAACAAACACACTGTCGGTGTTTCCGAGATGCAACATTTGAGAAAAAATGAAAGAAAAAGCAAAACACATCGTGCTGTCTGCAGGAAGAATCCCTCCCGTGCCATTTGTAAAAGATGAAAACATTCCTTTCAGACTCACATGGGATTTGTCTGGGTCTAGGTGTTTGTTTGAACAAAAGGAGGTGAAATAGGAGAATTGCTGGTAATGGAGGTATAAAACATTATTTCCGCTATTTTTCTGAAACAAAATCACAGAAAATGGTTCACATGTTGCCCACATCTTTTCAGGGAATAAGCGACAGCATAACATGTGTGAAGACATGTTAATTCTCGTGAAACAAAGAGTAGCTGTACATTAAGAAAATGATTCTTGATAAGCACATTTGTCTCAGTACTGCAAACCTGAATTGAAATGAAGAAATATATGATGAATAGGTACAACACAATTACAAATATATAAATCCTACATTGGACAAGAGATTCCATCAAATTGTTTTGGAGCCATTGGGGAATGGCATGTGGATATACTGCCATCTGCTGAGCAAAATCACACATCAGATTTCCATTTGCTGTTTCTCAGAGAGCTCAAAAAGGTCCCAAGGATAAGAAAAGAAAACAGTTTGAATTAATATCTTTATTGATTTCACATTAAAGTAGTAGTAAATAAAAATGTCTGCTTTGAAGTAATACCATTAAATGCGGTTGATTATTTTTCATAACAATAAGAACATCAGGTGTTGATGGAACATCTGTAAATGTCTGATTTAAAAATATACAGGAACCATTAAGACAATATAGATTGTTGTACTCTGTTTAATAGTCTTGTAGCCGGACTATGGAAATTAGCATACATTTATGTAATACATAGCATTTCTGTCCACTCGCTGCCTCATAGGACATCTCATTATGGAAATGTCATATTAGAAATCATCATGGTTTTAAAATGGAAGTTTTCATTATATGGTTTTCGTTGCTGCAGGTTGAACTCATACTTCAATGGTCTATGCACTTGATTTTGGTGAGGATGACAATTAAAATGAGCATGAGACAAGCATCCTCTATAGCCATCAAACAGCACCATGAAAAGAACAGAAAATTAATGTCAAAAGTTGAACAAGTGTTAACATGATTGTGAATCTATCCATCAGCATTGTCCAGGTGTGTACCAACATCCGGGCAAAGCTAATTCCAGCTCTGCAGCTTTCTGGTCCCGAGCGCTTTGAAGCGTTTGAATGTTGGTGAATTCTGTCTCCACGCCTGCAAGCATACAATAAATGTCCTGAAAATGAAAATGAAACGCGAAAATTATGTAGCGGTACATCTGCTCCTCGTTGTACGATCTTTGTTAGAGCTTCCTTACCCACAATGCACCGCGACAGTGCAGCTTATAACCCTCGGCTGGACTTCCGTTCCGTCTCTTGAGTGATGTCGTTCGCTGCGTTAACGAGCCTTTTACAATTCAGGGTACGTATTCCGCCAAGTGTTTGGATAAAAACGAATTAATTTAACATTTAAAATTTAACAAGAACTTGATACAATGATACCATAGTAAAGATTGAAACTGTTCTTTATTGCGTTTTCCTACTTTTTTGGGGGGTGAAGGCCACAGGCGCCTCAGCCTCGGACAGTAACGCGGTCAGTCCAGTTTCCTGTGAAATGTCTCATTATTCGTGTATTCTGGTCAATACTTAAATTACTTGCAGCCAGTTAAATGTTTACGTCAAGCCAAACGCGATGCGTACGGATCGACAAGCATTATAGACAAAAAGCCTTGAAAGAACGTTGCGTTGCACGTGGCCACACGTGTGACGTGAAACCGTAGTAACTGTGCCTCATTGTGGACCGCCTGCACACTCACTGAGACTCTGTTATGGACTTCTAATATATAGTTAACCTGTGATTATGTTGTCCCCTGCAGAGGTGCTGGGTCTCCTGGTGAGCACGTGCTGTGGCAGGCCGGCAGCCATGGGATAGAACGACCACATACCGCCATGGAGGCTAAAGGTGAATATATCTACATGTTTGCGTTACTTTAAAAGTCTGTCCCTTTTTAAGAGGATGCAGCGTTTAAGGAGGCTCTGCTCAAGCACGACTTGTGCAGCAGATCCACGTGACTTTTCCTCGCATGTCCAGCACTCAGTCAGCTGACCAGGTGACGCGTCTTGTCTCAGTGTTACAGTGCTGGTAGAGGAAGTCTCTGTACCGGCTCTCGGCTTTTGCGGGTTCTGTTTTAGAGTCCGCTGCTTCTGAGCCTTTGCAGAGCATGGCCCACCGAGAGTGGCCGGTCCTGATCCTACAGGACAGGCCTAGGAACGGCCGCACATTCACATACCGCCACCAAGCGGATGCTATTGGGACTCTCTACCTCAACCTAAGATGGAGCTCAAGTTGTATTCTATTCAATGTTCCCAATCACTGTTTTCATGATGTTGAACGATAACATTGTTCACAACAGAAGCTAAAGAATCTACAGGAGACATGATCTCTGGTGGAAACGTGTTTTGACAAAAGAAACTCCAGTGTTCCTGTTAATTTGAATAAACCAAATTTCCCGTTTCTTGTTTACAGTCTGAGCGTCTTTCCAGATGCACAGCGTGGGACTTTGTGTCTACATGCGGCAGGCTGGCTGATGGTGAGCTTTTTAAAACCGTTGTACCAGTCAAACCGTAATGTTATGCAGTGATGACTTTAAAATGAACACATCATGCTGACAACACCGTGGATAACCATAAACACTGAGCATAGCAGCTGACTGTTGCCAGTGATCAATGGTGTACTTTTCATTTTGACTGACCATTATTTCTTTAACAGTAAGTGGAGCAGCTGGCCTGCGCTGTGGCAGCCGCATGTGAACAGAGACCAGTCTGGGTATGTATGACATCCTTCCTGGGAGCAAAGTGGGTGTCGTTATAAATGTAGATCCTGTAAACCCAATAGTGCACTGCCATGGCAGAGGTCTTTCTTTGCTGTGCAAACTTTACGTTGGGAGAGAAACCTCAGGACTTTGGCACAGGTTCATGTGAACTAATGCACTATGACCTGACTTAAGACCTGAAACACTTGTGTAAATAAGTGTATGGCACTAAACTTTGTCTGGCAGTTTGTTGATTCTTATTTTCTGGTGTGTTCAGTGGAATCCTGACATGGTGGAGGACAAGTTCCTGTCTCTGTCCACCCAGTTGGACCAGACAGGCCTGCTGATGGTTGACTGTACGCTGCCGTGGAGCAACCGGTCTCATTTGTGTCCCAAGGAAATGTATGTTTTGTTGTGATCAGTTCATCAATTCTGCATAATCGATCTGGATGTTTGTCTTAAATGACCATGTTTCAATAAAAATTCTTACTTTTAAAAAAAAGGATGATTGACAAATCTCTGTTGTAAAAGTTATGAGAAGTCATTAAATAAGTGGAGCGTTTGGCCTGCGGCACAATCTGATAACAGACCCGCCTGGTAAGTGTGACAGCCTTCCTGGGAGCCCTTATTAGAAATGTAGATACTGTAAACCCAATAGTATACTGCCATGGCAGAGATACCCTTTCTTTGCTGTGGAATCTTTAATTGGGAGAGAAACCTCAGGACTTTGGCCAAGGTTCATGTAAAACTAATTTACTATGACATGACTTAAGACCTGACACACTTCAGTGGCGCTAAACTTAGTTGTTTCTGGCTGCTGGTGCAACCGGTCTCATTATAGGTTTGTTGGTGCCCGATTTCATCCATAATCTATCTGGATGTTTGTCTCATGACGATGGACAACTCCAACCTGTGTTGCAAAAATTAGATATCATTAAAACTTGCATTTAATGGATCAAGGTGTTTTTCTTCTGAGTTGGAATATATACATTGTCCGCTATGAACAAAGGCTTAAAATTATACAATGTATTTATGGTAATGAGGTCCTAAGCAGGATTGATTGCTTCTGCTGTACTACATCTGAATTGAAATGATAGGATTGGGGAATGGAGATATCCTTGACTTTTTGAAAACCAGCAGTTTAACTTCATCTATATGAATACCATTAAATGCCGGTTGAATATTTTTATAAAAATAGACCCAAACCATCAACATAGATCGTTGTACTTTGTTTAATGGTCTCGTAGCCAGACAAAGGAAATTAGCATACATTTATGTGATACACAGCATTTCTGTCCACTCGCTGCCTCATAAGACATTAAAAAATTGTCATATGGCTTGTTCTCATACTTCAATGGTTTGTACACATGATTGTGAGGATGACAAAGTTAATGAGACAACCATCCTGTATACTTCAAACAGCACCATGAAAAGAACAAAAATGAATGTCAAGTGTTAACATGGTTGTGAATACAAAGGTTGGTTAAAATGTGACACTGCTAAGAGATACAATTACAAACCAAATAGTGATTTTAATAGTTTACTAATTATTTGCTCGACCATCTGAAAGATTTATAGTGCTTGTTGTAAATAATATTTCTCCATTTTATGTGTAGGATTCTACCTCGGTAAACTACCGTTTGTCCTCACTCAAAGCAGGAAACACTGATTAAAATATGGAGAAGTACAGAAGAACAGGAACATATTGTAGTATTGGTTCTACACTAAATGCTTTTATTTATATCCCAATACAGTGAGTGGAGGGCTCATATTCAAAGAAAAAGAATCTATGCACAGTTTTATTTTTTGACTTTGGGGTGAAGATCTGGACTCAACGCGACATAGACGTGAACGTACAGACTAGACGGATGCAGGAGTCCAACGCAGTTCAGCAGCACCGCTGTGTAGTTCACGATGGGCGGAAGTCCTCAACGTTCAACGCTTCGCCGTGAGGGCCAACTTCTGTGGTGTTGCAACGCAAAGAAAGTTTCATGATGTGGGATCTTGGACCGATGACTATCGGTGGAAACAGTGTTTTGGAGGTGAAGACCGGATCTCTTCTATCCACAAATCGGTTTGCCACACAGTTTATTATATACACGTCACTTTTGACAGCGCTCATATTTCCAATCCCGCAATGCACATCGTCAGCAGCAGCAAAGACGCCAGGCTGAGAGTCGGCGTGATCATTGAGGCTTCACCTGCGGAAGCAGAAATACTGTAAGACAAAACAGGCCTGAGAGGACAAACCTCTACATGTTTATATTTGAGCTCTTACCCTTAATCCTGATCTTCCTGACTGGGCCATCCCCTCCTTCATAACGGCCGCGTACCATCAGCTCATAGTCTCCAAACTGAGGCATGGGGAAGTCCATGAAGTGCCAGCCAGTGACGTAGACTTTCCCATAGATGTAACCGGTCTTTCTGAACATGACCTTTGAAATAAACACAAGCCGGGTGGAACCAAGCAGTGTTGTTATTTCCATATACAAATTTAAGCTAATGGGGGGGGGGGAGTACTTTAGGCAAAGCTTTTCACACGCACCTTGTAATACAGTGGGAAGGAAATGTTGCCAAACCAGTCATACTGGATGTGGTCCCACCACACATACAACCACTGGCCTGTCCAGGTGACATAGCGCCACATCCGGGGAGGCTCTGGTGGGGCTGTCAACGAAAACAAACGATGTCTATACATGAACTGTCAATGCAGGCGATTATTGTCCCTTCGATTGCAAGCAATTCGGTCTCACGTGGTCTCTTTGTGAACATCTCACAGTGTTCACCGGGGGGTCCGAGGCCGGCTCCGTTTAAAGCGCGGACCTCGATGAGGTAGTGGGAGTCCGGCAGCATGTTCTCCAACCTTGTCTGGTTGGTTGCGGCTGACACGAATATACGGTTTGCTCCGGCCTCCGGATCATCGTACTTTCTCCAGTATTTCACCTGGTTAGCAACAAACAAATGTTTATTAAATTTTGATTCCGAGAACTACTCCAGTTAATGGAGCCTTTTACAGTAAAAGGCCCGTACCTGGTACCCCTCGATGTATTGCTGCAGGCCCGTTCCAGTGTCGACGACCGGCAGCCACCAGACTAGAGCTTCGGTAGAGGACACCGGCCTGGCGTAGACATCTGTTGGAGACTCTATAGGAACTGAAGGTTTGAGAAAAGAAAATGTGTCCCTCAGCTGCTCTGAGTTTAGTTTTATTTTTGTAAAGGAATTTAAGCACCGTTAGCTGGAACCTCACCATCTCTCGGGTAGTAGATGACCGTGGTGAGGCTGAATGGTCCGTCTCCTTTCACATTAAATGACTTGATCTTCACCTGAAACTCTCGGACCTGGAAGTCTTCATCGGTGGGAATGAAGTGGGAGTCCTTGTGGACGTAACGCCTGGTCTCCGGGTCTGAAATGGTCTCGTACCACCAATCGTAAGCGTCATGAGGCTTGAACGCCACAATGTAGCCAAACTTCTTGCCGGAGAAGAACCAGGGCAGCACGGGCTAAGGGTTCAGGATTGGAGAGAGAAATCTCTTAAATTTGGTAAACAGGCTACGTGTATGTTTTAGTAACGTCATGACGGCTTACTTACAGTCCACGTAATGACAATCTCGCCATTTCTACCTCCATAACCCGCCACATCAGTGGGGGAAATCACTGGAGCTGAGGAAACAAAGGGTCAGTTACGTTCTGTTGCATCCCACACCTGCACGGACTAAGACTCGGGTACTAGTGTTCTCTCCTCACAAGCGTCCCAGGTTTTAATCTTGAGGGAGGGGATGCTGGCCTCCCCAGAACCGTACTCATTGGTAGCGATGACCCTGAACTGATACTCCATCCAGGGGTACAGATCGGTCACCTCTGCCTTCTCCACATTACCGTCGAGAAAAGTTGGAGCTGAAAGTGACACAAATTGGCTTTTCAAACTTAACCATTCTTCATTCGCAATCTCTCTTGTTTCGGTGCAAATACTTTTTACTTCGCAGGTTGAAGCGATCAGACAGCTTTAGGTCAGAGTCTTGTAAACAGAGCGAGATTGCTCTCTGCTGGCAGTGAGCAGTACTTACAGGTGCTGGCGTCCCTCCAGTCATCTTCATTCAGGGCCCAGTAATGTCTGGTCTGAATAGTGTGGGAGAGAATGGGGCTGTTGTGATCGGCTCCTTTAGACCACAAAAGCTTCACCCACGTGTCCCCAATCTCTTCCACCCGGATCACACCAGGAGGGCCAGGAACACCTGGGTCAGGGAGGAGAGGACGGTGGTCAGCCCTGCTTAGTCTTCTGTTCCGACCCTACCAAACAACTACAATGTAATCAACAACAAAAAAAATCTAAAATAATATGATCTTGAGGCAAAACATGCTGGGACTGACCTACAATCTTGAGGTCAGCGTATGCAGTATCGCTGTCCACCACTGTCTGAGCCAAGCAGGTGTAGCGACCTTCGTGCCAAATCTGGACATTCTTTATTCTCAGGTCACCGCTGCCATCGTCACTCTGGACAACAGCAAGTGAAAACAGAGTCAAAAAGAGATAAAAGAACAAGGGAAAGAGAAAATTTACCAAATGTGAGTTTGCGACGTTAAAAAAGGAGGCTGGGATGAAACACTACCCTACCGCAACACGTTCGTAGTGTTCCCACTCAGAGTCAAAGTCGATGACCCTGAAGTCTATGGCCCAGATGAATGTGATGTCCAGCATGGGGTCGTATGAGGCGGCGCACCTCAGAATCACCTCGTCACCGACCTTTGCCTCGGTGTCTTCAGGTGGTTCCGTGATGCCGGTAGCCTCTGACAAAAAAGGAACCAAGTTCACTAAAGACATTTTGGTTTTGGTTTTGGTTTAAATATGCACAACGTGCGTATTTTCACCGACCCGTGATGGTGAGATAGCCAGAGCTGTTGGCCTTTCCCCGGTCATTCTCGGCAAAGCAGGTGTACACGCCCTCGTCGTTGTTGGTGGCGTTGAGGATCTCCAGACTCCCGTCAAACATGATGGAAATGC